TGTTTTTCATTTACCTCAGTGCATTCTCCGGTGGATAAAAAGGGACTTTAATAACTTCCGTCCTATTAACTTTTCAAATTGACTCCGGGCAGGGGGTTTATTTTCTTCATATTTTCCAGGGCAGATAATAACACCATGTGTATTTAAGTGTATATTTTCCTTCAGTGCTGATGTGGGTCGTTGACCTTTTTGTCTTATCGTTTCACATGGACACATTGATATGCATGTTAAATCCAGGTTGATTTTGCAGCCAAGTGGACAGTGGAGCACTATTAGAGCAGGATGAAGCGTAATTACATTTTTCCTCTTGAAAAGGACGGCGATGCGTCGAGTTGTCGAGCCGCTGTTGACTTTTTTTCTTGGGGAGGATTAAGGTGTGGGGTCCGGACATTGACGTCAATCGACATGAGGTTGGTTTTTGAAGGTCAATGTAAATACGTGCAAGGACTCACACAGTATGTGATGACGTTTGACGTTATAACAGAGAAAGACGTGCAGTAGGATCTACGAACAATATTTAACGTCTCCTCGCTGCGGTGGAGAAAACTGGCTTTAGATGACGCCTCGATATCTGCAATCAGATGTGCAGTAAAATAACATTTTTTTTTGTGCGTGTGTGTGTGATTCATCCTCATGACACATTGAGGTGAATTTCAGGTGTGTTGTAACAAAGTGAGAGACGCAGCGTAACAACAAAACACACTCTTGATTTTATTTTTCATCTTTTTAACCCACAAAAGGAAAGAGGTTTGTACCGTTAACGGCATCAGGAAAAACACAGGCGTTTATTCATTATGAGTGGAAATCACACACACACACATCCTAGTGTACAGTATGTACAATCCATATAAGGCGTGGTGCATATTCTTAAACTTGTTTATTCACACTTCGTAGCGATAGATGCACACTGAACCACGGTCACGTTAGCGCTCACTGCTAAGGATGATCGAGTGACCGATCGGTACAGAACCCGCCATGTTTTTAACCATTGGGTACAGTAATAAGCTGAAAAGCCCTGCAGTTAATTACAGCACACACAAGGCAGGGGTGTGAAGATGGTGTTAAGCCAAGAACGGTATTGATTTTCTTCCCTATTCTTGGAGACACTGGTGTTCAATTTGTAAAAAAAAAAAAAAATTATTTTATTCTGAAAATCCCTAAATAGACACAGCTCTCCAAATAGGTGTCAACAAGACTGCAGTGACAAAATGATTACCACTGTGTGCTTTTTAAAAAATCCGTGCTCCCTGCTGGTGCTCTCACAGGCAACAAGAGTCTTAACATCAGGTACAAGTGGTGAAGCAGGAGCAAAAGGACAGGATACAGACAGAAATGTAAAAAAAAAAAAATTCAAAAAATACAGAAAAACATGTCCCAGCTGTGATTTTTCTGTGCCAAACTTTTATCTTTTTAAAAATTAAAAAATGTCAAATAAAATGAAGGTTTACATATAAAGCCAGCATAATGGGATAGGACAAACTTTCAGCGAGGTGCGCAGTCCGAGTGACTGATGGGTTTTGGGAAGCGGTGGCGTTACGTGAGAAATGAGCTCTTCACGTCTGTAGTGTTGAGTGACAGGTTTGGAAAGATCAGGTCAGACATAAGTGTTGGATGTCTGTGGTCGTTAGGGGTCAACATTAAACGAAGGACTGCAGCGACGGAGAGACAAGGACGGCCAGGAGTGAGAATGAAAGTATAAAATATGGCCGCAAACCCACCAAGGGCACGGGCGGTGGACAACAAGGACGGGGAGGTGGGCGCAGACCAATGTCGGTTGTTGTGCGATGTGCGACGGGACGATTGCAGTAAGAGTTCAACGGACGGTTGCGCATTTACTACACGCCGTACGGTCTGAAGGCAGTGGCTCTGACATGAGGTAAAGTTCGAGTGCAACGTTAAAGACGCTGAGATTTCAAATATTATGGATGGAAAAGTCTTTAAAGGCACACTTTACTGCAGATAAGCCTGTCGGGTTTTTTTTTTTTTTTCTTTCTGCGGGCCCTGCCATGTTATTGTCTGAGGCTTGGCCAGATGCTCCGCAGAGAATCACTCCCTCTAATGGAAAACCATTGTCTGCCACTAAGGACATATGATTGTGTAGAATAGAGATCAGCCAATTTGGACTTATGCACGAGACGGAGGGGGGACGTTCTCTACCCGCTAGAGAGCTATTTTGGGACTGTAATATCCACTGAAGTCAATTCGTATTAGGCAACACATTTTGGAAAAGGATATACAGTATATCCAGTATATATTGTAATGTACCTGATGAATAGTGAAAACTTAAAAAAAAAAAAAAAAAATATCCAAGTGAGACAATAAGGCACGTAGTGTGTCCTCAGTTTACAAGGTCCTCGACCTACGGTGTTTTTGTGGTGACGAACTCCGACCTCAATAAACGTGCAGTTCGCTCATTCTCTCTAATATTTATGTATATCTCCTGATCAGTCTGAGTACAGCCAGACACCAACACTTCTGTAATGTACCTAAATAAAGTTAGAGTCAACTTCATTTCCCCGCTGGTTGTTTTCTTCCGACTTCAACCTCTTGACCTTGAGGAATTCAAAGTCCCACTATTTGGCCCAGAGCACCGTCCTTTAAAAAAAAAAAAATTGAAAAAAAAAAGGGGGTTTCACTTTGGCAACGATTCTCCAGCAGTGTTCACTGGGTGTGGTTGGAGTCTGCAGAGAGAAAAAAAAAAAAAAACAGACAGAAGAATATGAGCCTCCGCAGGAACAAAAGAAGCAAAGCTGAGAAGTTCTGTTTCTTCTAATTGTCCTTGGTCACACTTCAAGTTTTGTCTTTAAATAACGCGATCAGGCATAACGTTTAATACAAGCACAGGGTGTCATTTTCACCGGAGCAGCAACGCCCCCCCCCCGGTGGCTCCGGTGCCACCGGGTGCACTCACAGGTACAAAGTGAGGCGGAGAGACCGCCGGGACGCCAATCCCCTCGGGGAGATTGGATGAGGGTAAAGCAGGAAAAACTTAAGGTCAACGCTTTAAACTGTGGATAATTTCAGAGCCGTTAAAAAAATAAAAAATAAGAAAATTCCAATGACCTGCTCTGGAATACATTAGTTTTTTTTTTTTTTTTTTTTAATTTTTAACGAACTCTCAACTTACTAACCAAACACTAAAACTATAACTGAATCACATAAATCACTATACATGAGTGCCCCCCCCCAAAAAAATTATAAAAAATAATGACTGCATACACTGTAAAAAAAAAAAAACAACTGTTTTTACG